AGAAAATGTGGCGTGTACACACAGTGGAACATTATCTGTCCATAAAGAAGAATGAGATTGCATTGTTCACAGAACGATAGATGGAACTAGATTTATGTTAAATAAAATAAGCCAGACTCAGAAAGACAAAATCACGTTTTCCATAATATGTGGAATCTGAGAAAGGTGACATAAAAATAGAAAGAATGTTAACATTGGACAAGAAGAAGGAAATAAGGAGAGGGGAACGAAGTGGTAAGGGATGGTAATGGGGGCTAGATGAGAACAAAATATGTACATGTATGAAAATGCCATGTTGAAATGCAACATTTCGTAAATATTAATTAATAGGTACCAATAACTGTTAAAATAAACTACATTGAAATTCCATCTTAACCTAATGAGAATGACAACCATCAAGAATATAAAATCAAGAACTGCTCAGGAGGATGCAGGGGAAAAGGAACCCTTCCACACTTTTGGTGGTAACGTAAATTATTAGAACTAGAAATCAATGTGAAAGTTCCTCAAAAAGCTAAAAATAGAGCTATCTTTTGATCCAATTACACCACTCCTCAGTATATTCCCCAAAAAATTAATGTCAGCGTACCACAGTGTCTGCCTGCATGCTCCTACAGCAGCGTGATTCACCATGACCAACATGTGGGACCAACCGAGGTGTCCATCGGTGGATGAATGAAAGCATAAAGAAAATATGGTATATATGCACGTTAGAGTGTTACTGAGGTGTAAAGAACAACATTACATCATTTTCAGAAGTAATGGAAAGAACTAGAGATCATCATGTTAAGTAAAGTTAGAAACACAAGGATTACATGTTTTCCCTAATATGTCGAATCCAAAAAGCAAAACAAAGATGACATGAAAGTAGAAGAGATATGATCATTAGACAATAAAAAGGGAATAGGGGAAAGGTATGAGTGTGTAAGGGGGTGTAATAGAAGAATAAATGTGATCAACAGATGTATGCATATATGAAAAGGCAACAATTAAACCCAATATTTTGTAAAATTAATATGCACTAATTTTAATTAAATTTTTAAGGTCATGAATCAAGGTAAGAGCCAACACGTCTCGGTGAGGGTCAGAAATACTGAGATCATGCTGACCCTAGGCATAGTGAAGTTAATGTCATGGTAAATGTCAATTTCAGGGTAAAGCCAAAGTGAGATTCAGGTTGGAGTCAGGATCGGAGGCAAA